CTGTGTGCTCACTGCAAATTCTTAGCTGGATTGCATTTTGAACGGTACATCATTGTTAAAGCAATGTTTCTGTGGAAGAAGGACTAGGACTTCTTGTTCTAACATCTTGCTGATGCCACTCCCCAAATTCTCACTCGTGACTGTTTATCTCCTTCAATATTTAAGCATAGTTATTTTAATATGTGAATCTGGTAACTATTTTCTAGGTGCCCCTGTCTATGGTTTCTTCTGTATTTCTTTCATATAGGATTAGTCCTCTGTGTTTCTGGCTAGTTTTGGTTGAGTGTTGGGAATATTTATACTTAAGGCCTAGAATGCAGTTATCTTGCTCCAGAGAGGATTTTCTTTTACTGGTACTATATAGCTATATACTACAGTAGCATCAAGGATCACTAGAATCCATTTGAAGGAACTAAAATGATCTCAAGTTCCACTTCAGTTCCTCAAGGGACCTTATGTAGACCTTGACTCATTCCTCAGCTGTGGTCCTTTGTAGTCTCAACTCAAAGGATGACAGCTTTTAAAGAAATGTCCCTTGGTAAACCTGAACTCAATTTCCCCCATCCCTACGGGATATCGATAGTGTGTGGACAGCTTTTCAGTTACTTCTTCCAAAATCAACTGATGCTCTGGGAAAAACTGGTCCCAAATGTCTGGCTCACTTCTCTAGGTTTCCTTCTTTTCTCGGACCATGGTTTAGTCACCTTTACTGCTTCTGATACTTTCAAGAAGATGATGCTTATATTTACATAGCTTTTCTAGTAGTTATTGCTAAGAGGGTTAGTCTAAGTTACACAGACCACCGTTACCTGAAGAGAGATACAGGTTTTATAAATTTATACTTTATTGTAGTTTTTCTCAGTGGGAGTGCTACCAGTGTTTTTGAAGTAAAAACTCTTCTGGTGCACATACATCATGCATGAGGGATGTTTAATATCCCTGGTCGTGGGCACTGAATGTCAGTAACATCCTTCTCCTCTCCTCATCAACTCATTGTAAAAACTCAAAAACATGCGAGGCTTGTAAGGCACTCATTAAGATAAAAGGTAGCATTTGGGAATGTGATATTATTATATTTGTGTCATTATTATTCTATTCCTCTTCATGGTAAATCTTTGCTTTGATTGACCCTTTAGAGGTATACAGCCTCTTCTAAAAGTAAAAAAGTCACAGGAATAGTGTTTGGCTAAAATCAACTAAGTCAATGGTTAGGAGGGACCATGGACAGGCTGCAGGTAGTCCATGAAGCCCCTAAAATATTTTCTAAAAGTATATGGCAGGAGGATTTAATAAATAAGACATTCTTTAGAGAAGTAAGTGCCACCAGTGAGAGATTATCTATTTCATACACTTAAAAAAAAAAAAGGTTTAATTAAATTAGGACTTCACTGAAATGACTGAGTAGAATCTTTCAGAGGGGAGAGAAAAAGGGATAGGTGATTTTTTAGTGTTTGAACTTCTGAAAGGAAATAGATGTAATGGGAGAAAAACTACTACTTGGGGATTGGTATCACCATTCATCTTTATTAGGATACTATAAAACTCCGCATATATTTACATTAATTTCTTCTGAGGCTTTCTAAATTTGACAATTGAAGTCACAGCAGAAGAATAAGGATGGGGCCATTCATGAAAAAGAAGGGATAAGTTATAGAGCTGAGCAAGCAGCAAAATTCAGCATGATATAGAAAGGAAACAAGAGGGCAGGAGTTTTGTATAAGGAATAATTCCATGGGGATGCAGAATATGAGCCCTAAGGAAGGGAAGGTTCCAGTGTAACTAAAAAAAGACCCAAAGACAGATGGAGAACACTGACAAAGACTGAATCAAGGAGAATGGGACACTCATATGTAGGCACATATAAAGGACAAGTAAGAGGTAAACAGAAATCTCAGGCAGCCGTGATCAGAAACATCCTCACTTTAAAGTTATACTATCTACAACTATATGGTCAACTAATCTTCAATGAAGCAGGAAAGAAGAGACTCTTAAATACGGAGAACAAACTGAGGGTTGATGGTGGGGGCGGGGGTTAAATGGGTGACAGACACTAAGGGGGGCACTTTTTGGGATGAGCACTGGGTGTCATGTGTAAGAGATGAATCACTGGGTTCTACTCCTGAAGACAAGACTGAACTGTATGTTAACTAACTTGAGAATAATAATAAAAAAAGAATATCCAGTAGGAAAAAGACAGTCTCTTCAACAAATCATGCTGGGAAAACTGGACAGCAAGAGAAGAATGAAACTGGACCACTTTCTTACACCATACACAAAAATAAATTCAAAATGGATCAAAGACCTAAATGTGAGACAGGAAACTATCAAAATCCTAGAGAAGAAGAAGAAAAAAAAAATCCTAGAGAAGAAAGGTAACAACCTCTTTGGCCTGGTCCAGAGCAATTTGTTGCTAGATATGTCACCGGAGGTCAGGGAAACAAAAGCAAAAATGAACTATTGGGACTTCATCAAGACAAAAAGCTTCTGCACAGGGAGAGAACCAATCAACAAAACCAAAATGCAGCCTATGGAACAGGATAAGATACTTGCAAATGACATATCTGATAAAGTGTTAGTATCCAAAATCTATAAGGAACTTATCAAACTCAACATCCAAAAAACCCCCAAATAATGCACTTAAAAAATGGGCAGAAGACATGAAGGCACATTTTTCCAAAGAAGACATCCAGATGACTAACAGACATATGAAAAGACACTCAACATCACTCATCATCAGGGAAATACAAATCAAAATCACAATGAGATACCATCTCACACCTGTCAGAATGGCTAAAATTAACAACATAAATAGTAAGTGTTAGCAAGGATGCAGAGAAAGGGGAACGCTCTTGCACTGTTGGTGGGAATGCAAACTGGCGCAGCCACTCTGGAAAATAGTATGCAGATTCCTCCAAAGTGAAAAATAGAACTACCCTACAATCCAGCAATTGTATTACTAGGTTATTTACCCAAAGGACACAAAAATACAAATCTGAAGGGGTACATGTATCCCAATGTTTATAGCAGCATTATCAATAATAGCCAAACTATGGAAAGAGCCCAAGTGTCCAATGACTAATGAATGGATAAAGAAGAGGTGATATATATACACAATGGACTACTACTCAGTCATCTAAAGGAATGAAATCTTGCCTTTTGCAATGACATGGCTAGAGCTAGAGAGTATTATGCTAAGCAAAATAAGTCAGAGAAAGACAAATGCCATGAGATTTCTCTCATGTGTGCAATTTAAGAAACGAATATATGGAAAGGGGGAAAAAAGAGACGGAAACAAACCATAAGAGACTCTATTAAAAAAAAATTTAATGTTTATTTATTTTTGAGAAAGAGACAGAGCATAAGCAGGTAAGGGGCAGAGAGAGAGGGAGACAGAATCTGAAGCAGGCTCCAGGCTCCAAGCTGTCTGCACAGAGCCAGACGCAGGGCTCAAACTCACGAGCTGAGATCATGACCTGAGTTGGACGCCCAATCAACTGAGCCACCCAGGCATCCCAAATCATAAGAGACTCTATCATTAAGAGACTTAATGATAGAGAACAAACTGAGGGTTGATGGAGGGAGGGGGGTGGGGGATGGGCTAGATGAGTGATAGGCATTAAGGTAGGCACTTGTGTTGAGCACTGGGCGTTGTATGTAAGTGATGAATCACTAAATTCTGCTCCTGAAAACAATACTACACTATATGTCAACTAACTAGAATTTAAATGAATTTTTGGAAAAAAAAATTAGGACGTCTGAGTGGCTCAGTTGGTTAAATGTCTGACTTCTGCTCAGGTCATGATCTTGCGGTTCATGAGTTCAAGCCCCCATCAGGCTCTATGCTGACAGCTTGGAGCCTGGAG